GTGTGTGTGTGTGTGTGCGTGTGTGTGTGTGTGCATGTGTGTGTGCACGTGTGCGTGTGTGTGTTTGCGTGTGTGCGTGTACGTGTGCGTCTGTGTGTGTGTGTGTGTGTGTGTGTGTGTGCGTGGTGGGGGGATGGACTACCCCCTCTAACCAACCAATCAATCAATCAATCAATCAATCAATCAATCAACCAACCATCCATTTTATGAGCAAAATCGAATCTACCGCTAGAACATGGAAATATACACTTTTTTTTTTTTTTTTTTTTTTTTTGACTAACCAAACCCCCCACCTGTAGTCCGCGCATGCGGATGGGTGGGTTACGTTCAAAAAAGTCGCACCACGTGGCGCGTGGCGCGTTTGAACGCGTCCTCCGAGCGTTTGAACGCTCGCGTTCGAACGCAGAAGGGCGTTCGAACGGTCACATAGGTGTATATTTCCATGTTCTGGCTGAACACACACACAGACGGACATTGCCATGCTTCACCAAATGAGCAATGGGATTGAATCTTCCCCTAGAACATGGAAGTATCCACTGCCACAACATGGAAAGATACACTGCCAATGATCGAAAATGTGGCAGTGTATATTTCCATGTTTCAGCGACAGATTCGTTCCCATTTTGCTCATCCTATGGATGGAAATCTCTCTCTCTSTCTCTCTCTCTCTCTCTCTCTCTCTCTCTCTCTCTCTCTCTCTGTGTGTGTGTGTGTGTGTGTGTGTGTGTGTGTGTGTGTGACAGTTCCATAGTCCATACTAACACCGGGACTTCTTTTCAATGTATTTGTCCACAGTTATGGACATACTGACTTCTGGGACCTTTGGGGACATACTCACACTGGGACTTCGGGCAACTCAGGGCACACTCACACTCTACGCTGAGACCCTCTGGGACATACACTGTGCCCCGCCCGCTGGTTTCGAAAATGTAAAATGGAGAAAGAAAGCGGGCCAATCCGCTTTTGTCCATATTTATTAGAAAGTAGAAAGGAGAACTAAAATGTCAAATGGAGAAAGAAAGCGGGCCAATCCGCTTTTGTCCATATCTATTAGAAAGTAGAAAGGAGAAAACGAATCTTCTCGAGTGAAACTCTCCTAAGAATACCGAACTCTCAATACAGCGTGGAACGAACGTGGACGGTCTTCCTGGCTATGTGCATTGACCACCCAAATAAAAGAAAAACGAGTGCCTCCCAAGTCTGTCCAAGTGTCCTCCCACCTCTGTGAGATTGTCCTTCCACGTCTGTCAGAGTGCACTCCCTTGTCTCTCAGAGTGTCCTCCCACGAGGCGGTAGTAATGGTGGGTCAACGTCCGTTGAGCTAGCTAGCTCAACGGGAAAAGGGCTAGGCTAGGGGGGTGTTGTATTCGGGAATCAAAAATTTCTCCTTTTTTCTAAAGCAATGAAAAAGTCAGAAAAAAACGAAATTACATTTCCATCTACAAAACGAACCGCTGGATGGAAGTCAGGGAGATCGGATAGATGGGATGCATCTCAGAGGTCGTGCCATGCCACACCTGATAGAGAACTCAACGTTGAGCTAATTCAACGATGCAGGTGGGACATGGCCCCCGGAGTGCTGGGTGGAATCCACCTGCCCTACAGCGAACAGCAACCCATCAACTCCGGCAACATTTATGGCCAGGCCTGGATGTATATGACCGCACGAAGTGACCAGGTGAGCTCTCCTTTACACCCCCTTCATCCCCGCTCCTTACTACTTACACCCCCCTACATTCTACCCCTACGTGCCACTCACTAACCAGCAGAGCCTATTAACATGTTAGCAAACCATCCCGACCAGACCAGCAGAGCCTATTAACATGTTAGCAGCCCATCCCGACCAGAAAAGCAGGCCGCATTTCTCCATCTGTCTGTGTCATCCTTGCGCCGTGAGCCATGGTAATCTTCTCTGCATAGGTCCAATTTTTCATGGAGGCCACATTCTTCTCTCACTTGACCTTGAGCATACTATGGGGTTGGTTTTATCCCTTTTCGCTGAGGATAATTGATCAGTTTTGTCGTTATCGTCTAAGGAGGAGGGGTCAGTTTTGCCCATATCCAACTCGATTTCCTCAAGGGTGAGTCCGGCAGTTTCGGGAACTATCAGAGAGACGAAGATCAACGAGGCCGCCGTGAAGACAGCGAAGCCAAAGAACATCGTACGAGTCCCTAACTTCTCCTGTAGAGTCGGGATCCCCATCGTCACGATAGTATGGACAAGGAAATTAAGGATGGAAGCGACACTGAGGGCCCGCCCACGGCATTGAAGGGGAAAGATCTCGGAGACTAGCAGCCAAGTGATGGGACCGAAGGACAGTTGATATCCACCAACGTAAAACAACAGAGCAATGACACAAACGATAGGAGAACCACCTCCTCCTCCTCCTCCTCCTCCTACTCCTATAGCAGCAGTAGAAGCAGAAGCTATAGCATTGGCATCTCCTCCTCCTCCTCCTCCTCCTCCTCTTCCTCCTATTCCTCCTCCTCCTGTTCCTCCTCCTATAGCAGCAGTAGAAGCAGACGCCATAGCATTGCCATCTCCTCCTCCTCCTCCTACTATAGCAGCGGCAGCAGCAGCCATATGACCGCCATCTCCGACACGGGGAGCGTGGGAAGGCAAACCATCCCCGATGCTTACGGCCAAGACCAGAAGACTCAAGAGAATGACGGATATCCCGACGTGGAGGAGAGGTCTCCTCCCGACTCTGTCCACCAAGGCGATCGAGAATCCGGTCATGACTATTTTGACAAGGCCGATGAGAGCGGAAGCCGCCGTCGCGTCCGACGTGGCCTGAAATCCGGCTTTCTCCAATATACTTGCAGCGTAGAAGAGCACGCTCGGCTGACCTGTCAATTGCTGAAACAAGATCATTCCTGAACCTATCACCAAGGCTGTTACATTGCTGCCTCGGAAAAGAGACCTCCAGGCGTAGCAATCCTCAACACCTCGACGTTCCTTACCGTCCACATCACCTCCTCCTCCTCCTTCTCCTCCTCCTTCTCCCCCTTCTCCTCCTTCTCCTCCTCCTCCTCCTCCTCCTCCTCCTCCTCCTCCTTCTCTTCCTCCTGCTTTGCTGCATTGGAAAAGAGATATCCACGAGGTGCAATCGACACCTCGATGTTGCTTCACGTCTACATAACCTCCTCCTCCTCCTCCTCCTCCTCCTCCTACTTCTCCTGCTGCTCCGGCTTCTATACAGTTTCCAGTCATTTTGCGGACGTTGGGCACCATTTTGGACCCTCCTCCTCCTCCTTCTCCTCCTCCTCCTCCTCCTCCTCGTGCCCCTCCTGTTGCTGCTGCTGCTTCCTTTACACAGATTCTTGTCATTTTTTCGATGTTGAACAGCATTTCGGACATCTCGGTCGCGATTTCCTCGGGGTTTGCTGCGGAGCGGCCGCCCCTGAGAGAGACCAGTGACGCCTTCGCCTGCTCGTGGACGGCAATCAGTCTCCTTCTCTTCGTCTCAGCTTGGAGGGCATCCTCGCAAAGCAGCTTCTCATCTTCAAGGGCATTTTCGCAAAGCTGCTTCTCATCTTCAAGGGTATCTGGGCAAAGCAAATTCTCATCTTGAAGGGCATCTTTGCAAAGAAGCCCCTCCTTAGCGGCGCGCAGCAGAATCCACCTCGGAGACTCCGGTAGGACCGCCATCATGCCCATTCCCATAGCTGCAGCTATGGGCGCCGCCAAGCCATAGATCACCCTCCATCCACCTATCTCGTCGATTTTGCTATAGCCTACCACGTAACCCATCAACATCCCGACCACGATCGCGGCCTCCTTGACCGAGATAAGCGTGCCACGTATGTAAGCCGGGACGGTCTCCGATATGTAGATCGGGGCGGCATGCATCGCGAGCCCGACGCCCAGTCCGTAAGTGACGCGGGAAGTGACAAGTGTCAGCAGATCCGGCGCGAACCGGACACCGAGAGCTCCAACGAAGTAGAAGATAGATGAGAGGATGAGTTCCCGCCGCCGACCAATCCAATCACCGATGAGAAAGGCGAGCGACGAGCCAATCACGGCACCAATCAGCGACCCGCTAACGACAAGACTAGTCGTTAACGGGTCAAGATTGGACCAGTGAATGCGGCTTAGCTTCGGACTTGTCAAGGACAGCGAGGCAGCCGACGTGGCACCGATGTCATAGCCGTACAAAAGACCTCCAAGCGCGGGAAAGAGGAAAGACAGGCAGATGCTCCTCCAATAGCAGAACTTGAACTTCAAGGAGGAAGTAGAAGAGGAGGGAGTAGAAGAGGAGGAGGAGAAGGAGGAGGAGGCGGAGGAGGAGGTCCAGGAGTGGTGGACAGAACTGGTGCCTCGAAGAAGTTTCTCTCGTTCTGTGTTGTTGTCCATGGCAAAGGCTCGGTAAGTGAGTCGGGACTGCCGGTCTTACTACCTCCACTTTCGACACCGTACTGTGCTTCGTAGCCGTGTTCTTGTTCCTCTTGTCTACCACCTGCCTGAGATCTCTCCCCACTACCTCGATGCGCACATGCCACGTCTTCCCCTCCCTTCCATCCGCCCCAACTGCCTTGCATCTCTCTCTCTCTCTCTCTCTCTCTCTCTCTCTCTCTCTCTCTCTCTCACACACACACACACACACACACACACACACACACACACATCCACACACACATCTACACACAAATCTATCTATCTATCGCTTTTCATCTGTGTCTTGCTTCCTCTCCCCGCTCATTACCATCGGAGCAGCACTCCCCTCTCCCTCTTGTACACAATTTACAAAAGCAGGTCACCCGCCGCCCTCTCTCTCTCTCTCTCTCTCTCTCTCTCTCCACATATCGACCTACCTCTTATCTATCTCTTTCCATCTGTGTCTTGCTTCCTCCCCCCACGCATTACCATCGGAGCAGCACTCCCCTCTCCCGCTCGTACACAATTTAGAAAAGCAGGTCAACCGTGGGCGCGGCTGTGTGTTGGTGTGTGTGTGTGTGTGTGCGTGTGTGTGCGTGTGTGTGCGTGCGTGTGTGTAGGTGTAGGAGAAAACTAGTTTTTAGCTGGCCATGCAACGTACACCGTCCTCTATAACGGTGCTTCCTAAATGATTCAAAGTAATAAACATTAAAATGACAAGCCCCTTGACCTCGAATGGGATAACACTTGCCCCGCCAACCCGGGCTTAAGGTCCTTTTGCTTCCGTCCCTCATCACTGGAGAGGGTGGGGTGGCTGTCTCGATGTTTTTCAAAACTTCCAGTGTGATCAGTCAATTGGTAGGGCTCATCAACCGTTCAGCTCCGGTCCATCAGCGCGTAATTGCAGTCCACTCGGTTAATCAATGGATCAATCAATCAACCAATCAATCAACCAGTCGCAAGGTCGGTCGAATGGGCTCAGGTGTTGTCACTCGAGCACTGACCTTGGCATCTGGATACAGGCAGACGTACGTACACGCACACACAAAATTGCAGGCAGGGGTACGTGCCCGCACACACCGCCATCCACACACGTATGCAAGCCGTGCGTGCACGCACACAACCAACGGGCAGCTGGTACACGCCTTCGGGACGTCCGTTAAAATTGGAACTTTTTTTTTGGGGGGGGACGAGTAGATTAGCATGGCCCCTCTGCGTTAGGATGACCCGAATAAATCGAGAAATGAAATGCAAACAAAAGTTGGAATCCACAGATGACCAGAGTCAAAGCATTCTGAATTGCCTGGGGCCCGTGAGTCCAATGATGATATCTCAAGGCCGTCGCCCTTTCAAAAAGCAAGTAGAGCCCGCGGCCTCGGGCAGGCCAAATAGCCGCGGGCCAGAGTCCAGGCAGGCCAAATAGAGGGACAGCGGTCCCTCTCAGTATGAGGGCCGCAAGGGCGTCGCCCCAGCCAACCCTGTGAGGGGAGTTGGGGGAGGGCGGAGGCGACAAACGGCTAGATTGGGGAAGGCCGGAGGCCACAAACGGCTAGGATCTAGAGGGGGGGGGAAGGGCAGGCAGACAAGAAAAAAGAAAACAAATATGGTGGTGTGTCTTTCCATGTTGAAGGGAATGTGGGCAGGGATGCAGGCCTCGAGGGCCTGGCTCCACTACTTTACAGGGTAACACCACAGCTCCCGCCACCGTCGTTCTGGCATTGGCAAGCTGAGAGCATAGAACAGAGCAACCCTATTGATGTCAGTCCAGGTGCAACCATCTCTGAGGTCGAAGATCCTAATAAAGAAGAAGACCCGATGCTGCTCTAGCTCTCAGAACCCTCGAAAGCTGAAAATAACATAATTAGTCCAAGAAGCTTCCAATAGTCACCACGGAGAGAAAAATTCCCCCTACACCACCACCGCTGTCCCACGCTGCCACCGCCGAGGAGATTCACCTCGGCCCCAACCTGGAACAGATCCCCTCCCTCCCTCCTCCGCTAAGGCAGCCAATTCCCACCTAGAGGGTGCCTTCGCCCTCCCCTTTGTCCCTATCTGCCCCCGCCGGGGTTGAAGGCGACCAACTCTCCCACCCTGGCCCCAAACAAGGACAAACCACAAATCTGCCCCACTCCCGACAGAGCAGCCACCTCCCACCTTGCAGCGCCCCTGTAAAGTAAGGCTCCCCAACGCCCCCCCACCCATTCCCCAAAAATCCCCGCTGTGACCGCAGAAACCCTAGCCCGAGATCAAATGAAGCAGTCAATTATCCTCAATGAGGATCTCATGATGGAATACACGAAAAGGTAGATGAGATTTTGGTTGTGGTTTACGTTGACTGAATGGTTGAATAGAGCAGAGAGTGTGTGGGCGCACAGGCTTGAGGCGCGCGTAATTTTTATTGTTGATGATTGAAGAACCGGCGCGATCGCCGACTAGATTTTTATTTTTGATTAAACTACGATTAAAAAGATTCTGTCTCATGATTGGTGCACTTACCTGTGACTTGCGCATGTGTATGGAGGACGACGTCGACAGCGGCATGGTTCGGTATAATCGCGTAGTGGACGCGGAAGGTTGACGGTCTAGAGTTCGGCTTATAGGCCGATATGTGGGTTTGAAACGTTTCAGTAGAACCACGCGCCTTGCAGTATCCACTTATTTAGAGGTCCGTCAAAATTAGACCCGGACTTGGGTCAAATATCATTGGTTATAACATCGAGCTTTCACCAAAGAGATTCAAGGATCGAGGTCGAGCAGTAACGACGCGAGATACCAGATTAGGATGGAGGGATCGATGGGGTTGAGAGCCTGGTGGGGCTACCCTCCTTTGGTTTTGCCACTGGCGGGGATGGAAAATGGGCTAGCAGTTTTCTTTTTTCCTCGTCCGTCTTAATCTAACGATTAAAAAGTTATGATTATTTATGTTAATTTCTGTGTTATTATTTACCTTGCGTCGGTACTCCTTAACTCACGCGCGACGCTGGACTTGGAGGCCGTCACGATGGTCAAGGACCTTGAACACTCGCCTCCTCCTCGTTGACTTGTGAGTTCTTTGAGTGTTCGGGATGCTCGTGAGGGTCCTCGGTCCCGCCATCCCAAAGCGCGGACCGGGAAGATTAATGTGCATGAGAACTGGCGGGTGATTAGCCTGCGGGGCGAAAGAAAGTTGGAGTGGCGTGAGCATTCCACGAGTATATCGCCTACCAGCCATGGCCTGTTGTGATAGGATGAGTGTGGGCGTGCCTCGTCAGGCTCGAAGGATAGCAGGCCGCACCTAGAAGGAACAACCCGGGGCAGGGCAGAGTCGGAGGAGGCTGTGGCGTAGGAGTAATTGTACTACCTGCTAACCGGCTGTCGGCCTGCGGTATAGAGGCGAGGGGCTAGCTGAACCGTCTAATAGATGGTTTACCTCAGTATTACCTTCAGGGTAACCAGGACGATCCGCTAAGTTCCGGCCCTTCGAGACATCTGTCAAAAATTGGGCCGATATAGAACGTTAGTACGGCCCACGGTGTAGAGCAACATGGGATAGAGTAAAGTTCAGACAGGAGGAGGGGCAAATTCTCTGAGAAGTTGCAGCCAATACCAGCGCGCGAGTCGTGAGGTACGACTCGGAAAGAGCAGGGTCGCACTAAGGCGGAGCAACTCGGGGCGCTGTAGAAAAGCTCGCGGTGCTGCCGAGGACAACGCTTACCCAGTTTTGGGAGTGATAGGTGGGTGACTAAAACCGACCGCCAAGTAGCGGACTCTCTCTGCGAAATCCCCATAAGACCGTCAAACGATTGTTGAATCAGCTTGCGTATACCACTATGCGGTTGTGTGATACGATGGAATGATGATAACGGGGGAGATGACTATGCAAAAGGGAAAAGGGATGAGTCCGGACGGGAGATGGGGTGAATGCATTGAAGGCAGGGCATGGAGTGGAGCGGGAGGGGCGCAGCGCGAAGGAGAAGGCGGAGTGGAGCGTTGTGGGCGAGGAGGTGCAAAGAACTAGAAGGGGGAGAGGGTTAGCGCAGACGAGCCAAACGTTAGAGGAGAGGGTAAGGCCGATGAGAGAGGTGGAAAGAAGGATAAACCCGATACGGGTTCGCACCAGTATGGGACATAATTGAAGGGGTGAACTAGGGTCAGCGTTCGCGCCAGGTGAATCTGCAGTCGAATGTGGGGAGAGCGTGGCTATGGTAGAGCTAAGGACTGCTTAGCTCACCCATTATTTGGCGGCAATGAGTGAATGAAGGTTCGTTTCAGCGGTTTTAACTCCGGGCGAATCCGAATTTAACGTTAGTTTTAGTCATAGGCTAATAAGGAGGGAGCTAGTGGAGAAAAGTACCGCGCGGGGATGGCCGGGAGTGGAGAAAAAGTAGGATGGGAAGCGCATATCTTGAGCGTTTCCAAACGGATTTCGGTGGGGAAGAGGTCAAAGTTGTGGTTCGAGGGTAGGGCGAATTCAATGAGCATGATAGTTTTGGAAAAGAGTTGGTAAAGAAGAAGTTAATTGCAAAAAGGACTGCGCAGGGGTGTCTAAATGTGGGTATGGTCGCTCACGGAAACGCAAAGTTTCGCTCGACTCTTGGCATAATCAAGCGAGAGGACTAGCGTTTCGGACGTTTTAGTGGTAAGCAAATCCGATGGTGAAATCGAACTTCAGAGGCAATGAGTAGATTTTGAGCTATGATGAAGATGGGTTGTGCACGGGAGAAGCAATCCTTTTTCTTTTTTTCGGAGTTGAATGAGTACTTGTATGTTTTGCAGAGGATTCATTCCGACAGGATGCGGGTAGTGGGGTGAGGAAGCTCAGTGGGGGGGCCCTACCTGCAATCATGCCCTGTGAGATTGAGAAATTCGTCCTCGAAGTTCACGGGATCGTGCTTACCAGGCCAGCACCACGGTTGGGTGTTTGGGACGGTGTTCAAGTCGGCTCGGTCAGAGCTCTGTTTAGTGTCGTGCTCTTTCGCTTTCGACAAGGGTGAGTTGCCGCCTGCGGGCTATGCCTCGTTTACTCA